GTCACACCTTATTAAGTTCTGTGAACCCCTGTCAACTGTAAACGAAGCTCCTGCTGGGCAAAACTTTACAGGAATTCACAAGTTTTCACATGATGCAGTGGCAGTAGTCGATGTGATTGCGCTATGTTTTTATATAGACAAATCTGTGGACAACACCATAAATATCGATCCCGACGCGGCGTAGACGTCTAATGGTTTCTAATGAAAGTTTAATAGGATTCAGAAGCGTGGAAAAACTGGCTAATTCCAGGGAGGCTCCCCCCTTAGCTAATGGCAAACATGAATTATCGAAAGAAAAATGGCGACTCGGTGAAAAATTGGCATTCCTGGGCCGATCATTTGAAGAGGCCCCAGCTTAAAACTTGCACTGAACTGGAGAATCAGAGAACCAGCAGAGTCCCAAACTGAATTAGAAACAAACTGATTGGTTGACTTTGCCCAAAAATGGTTTTTGGAGGAACTGATGGAACACAGTGTAGTTCCGGCGGTGCAGTTTAGCACATCCGAGACATGCGCTGCAAGATAGGCATTACAAACGAGGTCTTTCGGTTCAAGGCTCAATTCGCTAAATATGGCGGCCACAGAGCTTTTATCAACCGGCTATTCTCTCGCGACGAAGGCCTAGAGTTAATGTCTCATCGCATCTTCTGGCGGAGTATTTGAAGAGAGGGAAGGGAGGAAAGAAAGAAGAGAAGGAAGAGGAAGAAAAAGGAGGAGGGAGCTTCCACGGCTGACTGATATCCTGAGACCGAACGTGACAGCGCAGCGCGTTAATTGGTCTAGCTAGGAATTATTCCTCTAGAATGCACACGATGCCGCCTCGGATGTCAAGAAGCAGAGGCAATATTTACTCCTTTACTGCCCCAACCATCCAGAAATGAGCCACTTTTGACCAGCTCTTTTTTCGTTGACAGTTTGGCGAAAATTTTGTCTCCTTGAGGTAATTTGACCCCCTTGAAAACGAATATCACATTCGCTTAGCCCGAAACTTCCTGGCGCCCGCGCCACAGGCGCCGGTGATTTGGGGAATTGTGACGCCTGTAGCGCGGACGCCCGTAGGTTTCGCGTCGAGCGAATGTGATATTCGTGTTCAGGAGGTCAGACTACTCCTGGTGACAAGTTTTCAGCGAATTTGGTGATTTAGGGTATTTTGGCGCCGAGCGTGTGTGGTAATCATGCAGAAATAATCATGCAGAAAAAGGTCAAAAACTGGGCTCTCTATGGAAGATTGGGGCAGTAAAGGGTAAATAGTGCCGAAGCAGACCCTATTTTAGAAGATACGAGGAGCCAATTAGCTACCCTAGCTAGTTGACTCGGTACTTTGCGTCAGTTAAATTACTTCATAACAGCCTACGTCATGATGGTTCATTTCATGGCCTTGCTTGAAAAATCGACAATCGATAATTCGCTTTGCGTTTCGATTTGTGTGAATCACTTTTAAGTCACGGAAATTATTCAGCACTTTTGGCTATAGACAGGGCCCGTCCTGCCGTTGGGGGAAAGTTTTGCAAAATAGAACCCTACCTGAATTCTCCGTACGTCCTACCATTATCTAGCAGTTTTGTCCAGTATGCCCTGAATACCCCAAAGATACTCAGATTTTTCATAAAACCGCTCGAGTAAAAGGAGGGTGGGGGGCTTTTAGAAAGGAAAAAACAGCAGTCAAGGACATTTTCTCGTAGGCTACTACGACCCCTTTTTCCGTTGACTAAGCACGATTCTCCTATCCAGCGAATGAGTTTACTTCTATAGGACAACAGCAACCATAATCCAACCGATAGATGCCAACGTGCAAAGTGGAGCCATCTAGTGGAATGGCGCACTGCCACGACTTGAATCTAATGAACTTCACCCGATTGGAAGCACCGGCACGCAAAGCACGTTACCACGTATAAAGTGATCAGACCTATCTGGGTGCAAGAAAACTGGAAGCATCACCGATTCAGACAAAAAAAAGCGGTGATTACTGGTTTTGGCACGACTCTTTCACACTACCAGTACTGAGAAACGTACTTTCTGCCCTCTTGTCCAATCTCCTGCAGGCTGGAAATAGTCAATAGGTATCAATCTCAGAGATTCCTCGATTCGCCTGTTTAGAAGCTACAAACGGAACATAAGATAGCGTAGACGGTTCGGTTGCCGGAGGGAGGAGGTCGTACCCGCCCTCCTGAAAAATGTTTTTGGCAGTTGACTTTTCAGGTTTATTCCCATTTAACTGCCGCTGTCCTAAACATCCAGGACGTGCCCTGGATGTTTCACACTAATCAAAATTCAGTAGAACACTAAATCTGCATTTTCTAAGAAAAGAGTCATATTTAAGTTAACGTACTCAAAACCAGGATTTTTTATGCGAGTATAAAGTAACAGTTCTCTAAGCGTACCCTTCCCCCCCTTCCCCCTCCCCCATGAAAAAGCTCGCCTACTGACACAACTGGATGCAACATCCACTTGAAAGTATGGATTCCAACCATCATGTTGTACATCTTCGTAAGCCCATTCATAGTTTTTGCGCGGACGTCTCATTCAAATGCATTGAGCGTTCCTTAACTAGCTGAAACCAGATGGTTCTGAAATGAGGCTCCGGAGGGTTTCCAAGACATATCATTAGTGACCATCCTTCACGGAGAAAATTCTACAAAGCTAATGAGTTTTCTACAGCCAGAAATCCGGGTCGTACTCAAAAGACAAGTAGTTTTCATGAAAATGTGAAGTGCACATCGTAAAATAAATGCCTCTAACCAAGGTCATCCCCTAATTATCTACCAAGAGAGCCGACAATAGTGCATTTCTACCTTATACTCCCTCTTCTATAAGGTGTAGGCCACATTCACTCACAAGGTCGTGAGAACACACCCGACACTGCGAGCGAAAAAATCTTGGTCGCGGCAGCTGTCTTTTCTTGAAGATGGCCTACTCTCACGATTGATTTCCGAATTCATTCGATACAACTTTCCTAATGTTCCAGCGAAATTGATCAACGACATGAAACTTACCATTAGTAGGAAAATACTGACCATGTAACGACATGAAATTAAAAATTCACGTTTTGAGGGCGAAACCTCCGGGGCGAAGAGTGACACTAATACAGGCCTGACAAAGAGGGAAATGATCTCAAGTCTCAGGCGGTGATCGATCCCTTTCTGAAATTTCTTCACGCATTCCACTTCTCTCTAGCATCGAAGTAGCTTATTGAACGCAATCTGGCATATACAGCGACTTGCGCCAATCAACAGGTCAGTTTTCTTCTCCTCCCAGAGAATTCTGAGACCAGTTCAATGTGGACGGAAAGTAAAAGGTTTGGTTAAACAGGGTAGCAGTCTAACTGGTATTTCACCCCCAGATCGTTCACATGGTAGGCGTGCCACTTGCCACTGTACCACCTCTGCGCCATTATCGCATGTTCTCCGAAACTGACCAACGACATGGAATTCATTACTGGTGAGAAAATACCGATCATGTAACCACAGGGAAAAACAATTTACGGCAAAATATCCAAAGCGAAGTGTGGCTTATACACAGGGGTGACCGATACTCCAAAAATGGGGTACAATTCCTACTAGTGAAAAAGAGATTGCGCAGGGAATACTTCTGCATGATAATAGTTGTGGGAGACGGTCAGGTCTCAAAAACCGAGCCGTTAATAGTCTATAGCTACAGCACACTTACTATTCCATTCATCACCCTGGAAACCTCATTGAATCCAAAGGCAGAAAAAGAGCACGCAATCCAGAGCGAAACGGCATCAAAATAAATAAGCAGTAAAAGCACCGCTCAATAAACGAAAAGTCCGAAGTGGGCCAGTGACCAGGGCGTCACTGTAATCATATTTCTTCCATTACAAACAACTGGGAAAGGTTTTTGCCAAGACTAGTGAGTGGAGGAGCCCCGGTGCAGGTGAACTGATTCGTCCGATTCAGCCAATCCCCAATCCTCTTGCTTTCAGCACTAAATACTGTTTTCAAAACAGAAAAAACGAAGGTCAAAGACAATAAAAGTGTGAAAAATTCAGTTACCACGATCGGATACACTGTTGCTACCAAAAGTCCCAATACATCAAATCGGGCACGTCCTGCTACTGGGGAAAATTTCTGCAAAATGCGACCCATCCTCGAAATTTGTTCCTCTGGTACGAAACCTCCCCCCCCCTTTACCGTCCCCTTCGTACCTACGATCTTGCCAAATTTTCCCAGCTTCCTACTACCTCTTGGGAGAAGTTCCCCAGTTCTGCACTCGAATCTACCGCTGAGTGAGAGAGGTTGATAGCGCCAGAGAGACGAAAGAAAGTGGGGAGAACTTTGAAACTGAAAATATTTTCTCTCAAAATAAAGTACGAGCCCTCCCTTCGATGGCAAAATGCGACCCTTCTCGCAGGTGAACTCCGAATACCCTCCTCCGAATAGCGCCGAAAAGTCTCAAGTCTATTCAGCACATCAAAGGCATAAACTTTATAATGACGTACTGAAATTTCTTACAAGACTAAAAGTCTCATGATTGAAGCTTAGAAAATTGAGAGGCAGTATAGCATAACATAGACTACTAATCGAATACTGTGTGATGTGTGTGATATACCTTTTGGTGCTATTTATAGATTGACATCCGTTATCTTTTTCCATTGCTATGAATTCTGCGAAACAAATATGAAGATGAAGGCACGCGCAAGAAAAACTGAAGAATCCGATGATTCACGACAAGGAATGCAAATGAAACATCAAAGGAAAAACATTAAGATGGTGATAATGAAAAACAACTAAACGATGGTTGGAATTGGGAAACCAACGCACTGCGCTGAAGTTCCTAGTAGTTATCAAGTAAAGTATGTTTCATAGAGAAAATCAAAAATAAAAAGAGAACCCGACAAACCCCAACCGTCCAGCCGACGACAGCCAACGATATTGCCAACGCATGTTTTTAAATCACGCACGCGTAGTCTCCAGTCTGCAATTGCACATAAAACCTTTACGCCTGATTCTAATCGACGCCAGAATAAATCGGTGCTTTATTTGGGTGCGGTTTCGCCTTTTTTGTGCTCGTTTCTTATCCTTCTTGCAGTATATTGGCTGGATAGATGGTAAGAGAGCCCAGCTCCTATAGTGTATGTCCACACCGTTAACAATCCCAGTACTTCAGCAATTCCGATTCTTGGGCTGGCAGGATTGCCCAGAATGGCTCCTTGCCCAAATATGCGAATTTTCCAGTTTGGTGAGTTCTGATCTCCTAGTTTCTACTGGTAGTAATGCTGTACTACGGAAGCACTTTTATTTCCGTTTATTCCGTTCCTGTTAAGGTCTATCTCATTTAATTCCAGTCGTCTGTCAAATTTAAAGGATTATGCCAGCTGTCCGTGGAGTTTCCTTCTTAAAAAGAATGTGGCTGACGAAGAAATGGCACGTTTTGTTTCCGAGCACAACGGTAAGCTTTACAGATGTCGGTCTTTGCTTAAGTGGTTTTTCCAATGAATCCAACCTGGTTCAACAAACTGCGGACTACGTGACACTCTTGCGCGGTCACGCAAACCCTTTCTCTGCGCTAGCGTGTATCCATGGAATGTATTATTTCCATCCCAGAAATTATTTTTGTATGTTTTTTGTGGATGGGAAATCCATCGTATGTTTGTGCATACATATACCTGGCTTGGACATTAAAATGTCATTATTGTCATGAGTAAAATCCAGTAACTGCGGAATTCCGCCGCTCCAAACGTTTTCCTATTAATTTTCATTGTTTCTCTGTTGCTCTTCACTGCTTACTCTTGACAACAAGGCTATAGCTTTCTACCTGCTCCCTCTATAGTTGCTCGCTTCGGATGATGGGTTGTGTCAGGGGGCGCTCGAAAGCCCGTTTTCTTTCCTTTTCTTTTTCGTTCGACAACGCTGTGTCTATAGTGCGCTTCAGCCGTTTTCCACCAAGTGTTGTCGCTCACCCGCTTCAACAACCGGAGGAAAAACGGCTGGCGGAGCGCCAAACCCAGCTCACTGACACGCACCTTCATCCACAGCGAATCAGTGTGTGCACCTCTCGACATTGAGCGAGTGCATTTTCTCAATTCCTTCGTGTAAATCGTCCATGACCACCAAAGCTAGCCCGTCAACCATTAAGAAGTTACTGAGTCACACTGAAGTCGCCGAACGTTCACAAACATAACGGTAACAATTCATAAAATTGACTAAAAAAGCCCCTCAGCAGTCACTTGGCACCTTGTGAGTGCCAAGCCAGGCACGCATAACAAGAGGCATTGGCCTTACTTGAAAGCATGGAAAGTGTCGGTCTGGAATGTGTTGAATAGGGTGGAAGAGGAATGGGGGGGGGGGGAAGGTGTAGCTGAAAAGGAGCACATTTATAACAAATTATATTTTTACTATGAAAAAATTTTCGATGTAAGTTTTCAATAAATAACAGAAAATACCCTATTTCCTGGGGTATATGGCGCAGAGTCGCACGCGACAGACACACCAACAGTTTTCTGTCTTTTTTTGAGTCATAGTTTAATCTTCTCATTGATTCTTAGATACCTTTATTCAAAGTAGATCATTAACATGGACAAGAACAAATAAAAATTTGCAATTTTGAAAACTGAGAAACACCCACGGCACTTGAGACGAAGGTGCGCCTTATACTCCAGAAAATAATGCAATAATTTTTTTAGCTTAAAGAAAATCACAGTTAAAACAGGATTTCGTCGGTCCGGGGATTGCTATATGGTTAAGTCTCATTGTGCATCATAGAGGTATGCGTATCGCGGGGACTGACAGCTGTACTATCAGTGAATTGCCCTCGAAGAGCAGCAGGCTTTTGTTGATTTGGCAAGAGTCCAAGCGGAATGCAATTGTGTACGCGATGCCAGTTGATATTGTGAGCTCTCTGCCTCATATCACCCGTACCACTGTCAGTCAGGGGGTTGAGAAAAAAATATGGACAATTTGGCTTTTTTTTCAAAGGCAAAGATTGATAGACTGCTTGTCCAGATATATCCAGCATTCGCCGGTTTTTGTACTCCATTTCCTTCATGATGAAAAACGCCACTTCGTATAGATGCGCAACGGATGATTTTGAGACGGAATGCACTCACTTAGGTTTGCCACCTGGTGAGTTCAAAGAACTTCTATGGTCCTCACAACGCCGCGTTCATCCTTACGACATCACGGAAACGGAAATTCCGCGGAAAAGATAAGATACGTAATCCACTGCACACAACACGGGAAGATCGTAGGATAGCAGGGCATGTTGTACGTTAGGGACAGGGACTTCCTGCCGTTGGGAAAACTCTTCCCCCCTACCCCAAAAAATAAATTTCTTCTGATACGTCGGGCAATCCCCTATCCTGCCTACCATCTTCATGAATTTTCCTAACTTCGTGCCACTTCTTCTCCGAAGTTGTTTTTTTCTGAATTCTTCTCCTGAACTCTTGTGAATCCTTCACTTTTTCCCAAAAACTGCCGCCTAGATGGGGAAGAGGAGCAGTGTTGGGGGAGGGGGGGGAGGTGTATAGCGCACATGAAACGCGAAAGAAGGAGGGAAGGAGGGGAGGTCGAACTGTCATTTGACGCCTTTGAAGAAATTTTTCCCGTTGTTGATTTCTCTACGTTCTTTTCCAGTGCGTTGTATTCCTTCCTCCCACCACCCGTCGCCCGCTCAACAGCAGTTTTTCAGTTTTTTTTTTTCGAGGAAAAAACTGGAGAATCTGGG